TTTCTATTGATGTATAACAAGTATTTGAGAAAATTCAGCATCCCTTCATGAGAAGGAAAGTATCTCACTGCCAATATAACAAGGATGCCCACTCTCACCACTCCTATTTAACATTATATTAGAAGTACTAGACAGATTGGAAAAGATGAAGTCAAACTCCCTGTTTGCAGATGACATGATCATATATAAAGAAAAGCCTAAAGATTCTACAAAAAAACTCTTAAGAGTTAAACAAGTTTAGTAAAGTTGCAAGACACAATATCAACACGCAAAAATCAGCAATATTTCTGCTCTGATCTTAATTATATCTTTCATTCACTAATTTTGGGATTGGATTGTTCTTGTTTTTATAGTTCTTTGAGGTATAGCATTAGGTTATTTATTTAGAATCTTTCTCTTCTTTTGATGTGTTTATTGTAATAAATTTCCCTCTTGGTACTGCTTTTGTAGTATTCTACAGGTTTTGGTAAGACATGTCTTTATTTTTATTAGTTTCAAGAAATTTTTTGATCACGTATTTAATTTCTTCTTGGACCCACAGGTCACTCAGGAGTATAATGTTTAATTTCCATGTATTTGTATAATTTCCAGAGTTATGCTTGCTATCGATTTCTAGTTTTAATCCATTGTGGTCTGAAAAGATACTTGTAATGATTTCAATTTTTTTATATTTGTTGAGACTTAATTTGTGACCTAAAATGTTCTGAAGAGAAGAATGTATATTCTATATTTGTTGGACAAAATGTTCTGTAGATATCTGCCAGGAAGTAGAACTGGGCAAAGAAAGACTTTATGAATAAGACCCCAAAAGCACAGGCAAGCAACAAAAGAAAAAATAAACAAATGAGGTTATATCAAACTAAAAAGCTGAACAGCAAAAGAAACAATTAACAGAGCAAAAAGACAAACTCAATAATGGGAGAAAATATTTGCAAACTATGTTTCTGACGAGAGATTAATATCCAGAATATGCAAGGAACTCAAACAACCTAACAGTAAAAAAACAAGTAACCCTATTAAAAAAATGGGCTAAGGAGCCGAATAGGCATTTCTCAAAGGAAGATATACAAACAGCCAACGGACACTTGAAGAAATCTCTATATCACTAAGCATCAGGGAAGTGCAAATAAAAAACAAAGTGACATATCACTTCCCCCCAGTTAGAATGGCCATTATCAAAAAGAGAGAATGACAAACATTGGTGAGGATGTGTAGAAAAGGGAACCCTCCTACACTGCTGGTGAGACTGTAAATCAGTACAGCCACTGTGGAAAACATGGAGGTTCCTCAAACAACTACAGATGGAACTGCCACATGATCCAGCAATCCCATTGCTGGGTATATACTCAAAGGAATGGAAATCATCATGTCAAAAGGATACCTGCACTCCCTTGTTTATCGCAGCTCTATTTACAGTAGCCAAGAGTTAAAACCAACCTAAATGTCCATCATCAGACGACTGCATAAGGAAAATGTGGTATATATACACAATGGAATACTACTCTGCCATAAAAAAAGAATGAAATTCTACCATTCGGAACAACATGGATAAACTTAGAGAAAATTATGTTAAGTGAAATAAACCAGGCACAGAAAGAGAAATACCACATGTTCTCACTCATAAGTGGGACCTAAAAAAAATAAATTAAAAAAAAAAGAAAGATATAACAATCACAATAATTCATTGAACTTTCAAAAGGAGAGAATAAAACTGAGGCCACCAGAGGTGGGAGAGGGGGAGGGGGTTAGCAAGAAATTGGTAAAGGGCCATGAAAAATGATTAGATTTGTGTAACGTTACATATACTAATTATCCTGATTTGACCATCACATATTGCACATAGGTATGCATATTCAACACTGTACCAGACAGGTATGTACAATCAATTATGTTTCAATAAATAAAAATCTAATTAATTAAATGAGAAAATGTATGTGAAGTGCTTTTTAATTCCATGTCAAATGAAAGTATTAACTATAGTTATTATAACATTTTTGGAATCAAATATGTAATATATAAAACAAAAATAAACCCTTAATAAAATACCTTTGTATATTAATAAGTATACATATCATAACAAAAAGTTATTATTGAGTGGAGGCAGCAACCGACTGTTCTTTGCATAACTTTTGCTGATACCTTTTAAATAGTAAAAATTCAAACACTGCAAATGAGCATACCAGTAGTGGCTGTAATAATAATGTAATAATTTAAAATATACTAAAACTTCCATAGGTATGATAATGATACCATTTATTTTCTCATACATACACATATATACCCTCAATCTTCTTACACATATACAATGAAATGTATGGACTGGAAGATCTCTAAAATCCCCCTGATCTCCCACATTTTATGATTCTGTACACCTTTTAATAGTTTTGCATAAGACTGTTTCCATATTGGGCCGGCCCGGTGGCGCACTGCTACAGTGCGCTGCTTGGGAGCATGGTGGCGCTCCCGCCGAGGGTTCGGATCCCACATACAGACCGGTTCCCGCTCACTGGCTGAGCGAGGTGCAGGCGCAGCACTGAGGTTTGCGATCCCGTTGCCGGTCCCGGTCCGGTACGGGCGCGACACTGAGGGTTGCGATCCGTTGCCGGACAAGAGAAAAGAAAAAAAGGAAAAAAAAAAAAAAAGACTGTTTCCATATTAACTATTTTTTACTAAATCTCAAGCTTATTCCTGCTTTGTTCAAGAACAGTTTTATACAAACAACACTGTGCAAGGTTTCTTATTTTCATAAGCTTATTTAATGCTTACAACAACCCTGCAATGTAGATAACATGAAAACTAAGTAAGCTGTTCAATATCCCACAGCTGGCAAGTGAAGAGGACTGAATTAAAACTTCTAGTTACATGATCCTAAAGATTCTGCCCATTTCATCACATCAAGTTACCTTCCTTAATATATTCACTGAGACATTTACTAAGCACCTGTTATAACAACAGGATTAGTTTACTAGGTAAACATTCATTTAAAAGGACTGAGGAAATGCACACTGGGACTGATAAAGCAAAGTTCTAATATGGGTATAAATAATGAAACTATGCAGGAGAGGGCCGGCCCGGTGGCGCACTGCTACGGTGCGCCGCTTGGGAGCGCGGCAGCACTCCCGCCAAGGGTTCGGATCCCACATACAGACCGGTTCCCGCTCACTGGCTGAGCGAGGTGCGGGCGCAGCACCGAGGGTTGCGATCCCGTTGCCGGTCCCGGTCCAGTACGGGCGCGACACTGAGGGTTGCGATCCGTTGCCGGACCCAAAATAAAGGAAAAAAAAAAAAAGAAAGAAACTATGCAGGAGAAAAAAAAAGTCAATAAATAGATTAATAGAAAACAAACCTAATTTAAATAATGAGTGAGGGAAAAATGAATATATGTGTGTTCAGAACAATGGGAACTGGTTATGTGCTAAATACAAAAAAATTCTACCTTGTTTTTTAATCAACTTGTATTTTGGTTTGGCTTTGTGGCCAATTCAGATAAGAGAATGGTTCATTATAATTTAGTATTGTTTGAATACTAATTATAAGGATTGTTTTCTATCACCTTAAAATGCCTCATAAAATTTTTCATCAAATATAATAAAAAATGAGATAGATTTTACCAACAAATTTTAGCTCACTTGGAAGAAAGGTGCTAAATTAATAATGGGAAATATTACAGTACCATTATATAATTCCCGGAAGGGTTAAACGGATTATTTCCTTAACTACTCTGAAAAGGCAGAAGACAAATTACTTGAAAACACAACATACTCATATCCCACTTTGTTTTAAGTGTGATACAAACGCAGTCAGCTGAACACTCTCTAAGAAGATTCATTTCAAACCTTCTCTGTCCAAAGTATTATACTAAGTGCTATGGGAATACAAACAAGGCTACTGATTGAGATGTGGTTAGTCCCTAACCCCATGGAAAAGAAGATACAGAGGTATGGTTTTCTATTTACATAAATCAATTTGGTTCCCCTTGGGAAATATCTGCATATATCAATATGTGTTTTTAGGATTACAAAAGAAATAATGCTACTATGGGTCTTAACAGACATTCACAAATTATTTTCAACATGCTTTATTATTTCCTGATAAGATGATGATACATACTTAAAGACCAAAAAAAAAAAAATAAAGCCATTTATTCAATGTTAAAAAAAAAAAAAAAGATGGTATTTCTTTGAATTTGGCAGTCATATTTTTGAGTCTACTTTTATTTCTATTGCCAACCTTCTGCTTCCAGCCCCAATATGATATATAAGCAGCCTAGTGTGAGGATTAATCAAAATCTTTACATTACTGATATGTGTAGCTTGAAATGATGAAAGTTAAGACATAAAACAAAGATTATCCGATGCTCTGCTGTGCATCACAATTATCCGTGGTGGGTATTTAGGTACCAAACCCCTCTCCTACTGATTTCAATTCTACAGGTTTAGGTGGTACTCAAGAAACTGTGGTTTTTAGATAGAACACATTTGGAGAAATAATTTCCGGAATTATCATTAATGCAGAATTAGAGTTCCTTATTTCCCTTTTACCTCTACCAGTTTCAAAAGTGCCAGAATTGTTATCATCTGTTTCGATGTTCCTGAAGAAACCACATGCTGATCTCCATGGTACATGTTCATCAACTATACACACCCATGTTTCTGCCCAATTCCCCCTAGACAGATAGATAGATGAATGGATAGATACGAAGGTAGACAGATATAAATAGATAGACCCACCTACCCATTTACTAAGAGGAGGTTCCAAAAAGTTCATGGAAAGATTTGTATTATCTTTCAATTCTATTTTCCATGAACTTTTTGAAGTACTTTCATATATATTAAAGAAAGCAGATATCCCACCTACAAATCAGAAAGTAGTTCCAGTGTTTCAACATCTTCTACATCTGAAAAACACTCTGAAATCAAAAGAAGAAAGCAGCTACTGAAAGAAATTCCCAGGAAAGTTTCCTGAAAGATTTTTATTACTAATAACAGTAGTTAGCTTACCTGCCATCCCGCTGAGCAGCACCACCTTCTGTTACTGTCTTGACAAATATTCCCAGCTTTTCAAGTCCAGCATCTGCTCCAACACCCATTCCAATAATACTTATACCAAGACCATCCTCGTCTATGGAAAAGAAAAAGGGGGGGAAAAAAGAAACAATCTAGGTTTTACACTAGTACATAATTAGCTGGTGAAGCCTATTTGCTGCTACTTATTTCTTCTTTATGCATAGGACATATGACTACGATATGCTTGCCTCAGCAGAATTTTTTTCTAAGCTGGGGAGTAAGGATATCAAATAAGATCCCCTAAAAGGTTTATGAGTTTAGTCTCATTTTAACACTTCAGTTGGGAATTCACTGTGGTTCAAGAAAAGGTAATAATTTCGTTACTAAATAATCAATCTGCCTTAAAACACAGACTCTCTAAATAACCTCATAAATTATTTGGGGAATAAATGCACATATACTCAAACACATATATTTTAAATAAATGTGATCAGACCATATCTGGAATTTGTCCTTTATTCGTGTGGTCTTTTCTTTTTTACTCGTCCATTCATGTTAATAAGATAGTATATGTCTTTGAGTATTTTCCTCTGTGCTACTATACAAGTATGTATACTTATAAACAGTTGCAATACATACATACATACAATATACATATACACACGCATATATATTTGGCTTGTACTTCCTTCCATTTGCTTTACACAAATAAAATTATATCTACTTCTCTCTGTAACTTACTTTTTAAAATTCAATGATACCTTGTGAGTATCAACTTAACATCACTCTAAATCACGTCTAATGACTGCGTAATATTTCATAGTGAGATGGCATCAAAACGCAGCCAATCTCTATTGACAGGCACTCACTTTTGTTTCCATTTTACTGGCCCTGTGAAGAATACTGACAAACAGTTGCACTTATTTTTTAATTTACTTATAAATCATACATTTGTCCATATTTCCATTTGTCTTTTATGTGAACATATATAGTGTAAGAACAATGAAAGAAGAGACACTATTTTGTATATCACATTTTTTCATTAACATTCAAGGTTATTTTCTGATAGCATCAAAGTCTTTGTATTCGTGGTTTATTAGCAGCATAAAAAATAGATACTAGATAATCAACAGTGATGGATTATTTAAGGAAAACTGGCCTATATACTCAATGGAATGCTTGCTGCTTTTAAAAGACTTCAGCAACAACCTCTACTAAGTATTCTTAATTAGATTCTTTTGAAGAGGGTTCATCTTATTGATTATTACTTGTCACCAATTTCTGCTTTAAGTATCTCTAAGTACAATTCACAATCCTACATCTTTATTCTACTTATGTTTAAAAAGATGTCATTTGGCAAAAGTGTGACTTGTTTGCTCAGCTGTATGCTAAAGGAATCTTTATAGCTTTCCCTGAATGAGTTTTCTCATGTGAACCCCAGCTAAAGGCATTTCCACATTGATTCTAGGCATAGGTATCTCTCCAGTGTGAGAAATTTTATGTTGACTCATGTATGAGTGATCACCGAAGACTTTTTTCATTCATTACATTTATTTATTTATTTTTATTTTGTTGGCAGCTGGAGGGTAACAAGGATTTGAATCCTTCATCTTAGTGTTACAATTATTCATTACATTTAGAAGGTTTGCATACATGTGATTTCTCATATTATTTCATTCAAATTGTTTCTCTGGTATAAATACTCTTATGTTCATCAAAAGGATTTCTCTTGCTAACGTTTCTTCTACGTTCATTACAGTTTTAGAGTTTCTCCCCAGGATGAGTTTTCTTATGCATGTGAGGGTTACATGTGTGCTGAAGGCTCATTCATATGAGTTACATGCATAGGGTTTCTTCTCTCGCATCTGTCTCTCCTGTGTATATAAAGGTTAGCTGATGGCTAAATTCTTGTTCACGTTTACCACATTCATAGAGTTTTGCCACTGTGTGAATTTCTTCATGTTGATGAGGCAAGAATGATTACTGAAAGCCTTCCCACAGTGTTTACATCCATATAAGCTTTTCCCCCCAGTGTGTTACTCTTGTGTTGTTTAAGAAGTAACTGTAGACTCTTCTACATTGAATAATGCCATTGAATTTCTCTCCTGTATGAAATTTTTGGTGTATATAAGTATTTGCATTCTGGCTGAATTCTTGCTCACATTCGTTATACTTACAGGGTTTCTATTCATTATGATTTTTTTTTATCATATGTCAAGCCTATGATGAGCTATGAGTGAAACTTTCTCATACTCATTACACTCAAAGGGCTCCTCTCAGATGTGAAATCTATGTGCTGTGATGCCATTAAATAGCTTCTTCCTGCAACTGTCCTGTGTGAAAATCACCTCTTGGTAACAACTCCATTTTCCCTGCAGGGTAAAATCTTCTTTCTTCCTTCCATTACTACTTTCATTGTTCTAACTGGACAATTACTTCATATCTGCAGAGCTGAAAACTGGTTGTAGGAAAAGCAACATTAACTTGAGCCATCTTCAGTTCTAGTGCAGACTACCTACAATGACAAGGTGATGACTGAAGGAAGGGCAATACAAGGAAGAGCACAATCAACCCTCAGACATCAGATGACTGATGTTCAAGCATTCATCTCTGAGATGTGTCAAGTATGGGTGAAGTCCAGAGCTGCACACGAAGGCCACTGATAACTGGCTGCACTGTTAAGAACACAGCAGCCCCCGTCTTTCTCTGCAAACACTCCTAGAGAAAGGCAAAGCACTAAATAGGCAAAACACCAGGAAGAGACAGGCTATGTTACTATGGAAGATGCTACCAGCATACTCTGGAACTCAAAGCTTATTTTTTCTCTCAGGAAAGGAGCCCATGTTGGTTTAGCATTCCCCTCTTTACTAGTGAGACTTGAGCCTGTATTCGTAGGGGTGTAGGTCATTAGATTTCCTCTTCAGAAAACTGCCAATTCTTCTACTGAGCCATATCTGTTTCTTTTTTGCTGGTAATTTGCAAGGATTCTTAGCATATTATAGATATTAACTCTTTGCCATCTATAATATACATCCTCCCCCCTACTGCCAAATTTCTTATTTATCTATTAGCTTTGTTCGACATAAGGGATGTTAAAATTAAAATTTTGGATGATTGAATTGGCCTATTTTTTCTTTTCTAACTTCTGATTTCCCATTTTGGTTAAGCCCCTCTTCCCACAAGCCTAAATAATATATGTAATCTTAAAAATTTTCTTCAAATATCTTTATTTTTAATATTTAATTATTTAATTCATGTAAAATTTTTTACATATGATGAAATAAATGTGTCCAACTTCATATTCTTCCAGATAGATACTCAGTTATGCCAGCACAATTTTTAAAGCATGCTGTTCCTGTAAGTTGAAATATGCATGTCATGAAATAAATTCTCATGTGTACTAACACCTTAATCTGAATTTTCTATTTTGTTCCACAGATCAATTACTATGTGATTAGAATTTATTCTAATTACAGAAGCTTTATATTATGTTCAGATATTTGGTAAATTAAGTCCTTCCTATTCTTTTTCATACTCTCTTTAGATCTGTATTTTTCCATATAAAATGTAATATTATTTTGCGCAGTCCCCTCTCCCTACCCAACCTTGTTGGCAGTTTTATTTGAACTACACTAAATTTATATATTAATATAGAGAGAGACTTTTCTATACCGAATCTTCCCATCCAAGAATATGGTATATCTTTCAATTTGCTTAGATCTTATGTCTTTCAAAAAAATTTATTATTTTTTAGAAAAGTTCTACGTTTTTCTTAGTAAGAAATTTAATAAATATTTTGTTTGATGCTATTGTAAACAAAATATTTTTTTCCATTTTCTTTTCTAGGTTTTTAATGTGACTACAGAGAAAAAACTACTAATTGTTTAACATGTATCTTGGATCTGACCTACTTCACAAATTATGTTACCAATTTTAATATTTTTAAATTAAAAATCAATTTGGTTTTCTAGATAGATACAGATGTGGATATGCATATGAGTATGGATACAGATATAGATATTCAGGAAAAGGTGATGCTTTTCATCTTTTATTTCCTGTTGCTTATAGTGATTATTCCATTTAAGGATATTTGACTACTGGTCAATTGAAATACTGAAATATCATTGAATTGGATAATTGAAATATCTTCAGTGTATCCTCAAATTAAAAATAAAATTCTCTGTTGATATTTGACCTATAATTCACATAGTATTTAGGCAGTTTCCATCAAGTGCTAATTTACATACAATTTTTATTTGAAATGGCTAAATGTTATAATATATCTTTTCATATGACCATAGACTTTTTCTTTTAAATTTTATGTGGATAAATTTTCTAATAACAAACAACCTTGTATGCTTGTATATAAAACCCTATTTGGTCTTAATGTAATTTTCCCTTTAAATATTTCTATATTTGATATTTTATTTCACTTAGAATTTTAAAACAAAAATCTATAATTGGAGTTATATTATCTATAGCAATCGAAATTTTTTGTAGCATATTAGTTTTGAGTGTAAACTGTTAATACATTGTTTCGATGTAATGAATTAGAGTTTTCCTTCATTTTCTATGATGTTAAATAACAACAGTTTTATTTGTTTTTTAAAGTACAATCTGGTTCTCATTACTTGTTACTGTCTTATATTTAGTCACCATTATAGTTTCTTCCATGGCAATTACTCCATTTTACTTGCATTGATTTTGATAATGGATTTGGGGGGGGGGGGCGTTGGGGATTAATTCTTTCTAGGTATTTACCATTTTTCCCACAGAAATTCAGTAAATTACTACTCCCTAATACTGTATATTTGTATATGTTTGCTTTCCACTCCTAATTTGCATATGTTTGTTTTCAATTTTCTTCAGTCAGTACTGTACAGGATTGATATATTTTATAGATCTATTCAATGAAAAGTTTTTGCATTAACTCGTTTTACCATTTTTTCTTTTCTATCATTAATTTTATTTTCAGTTATGTTATTCTCCCTTCCTAGTTTGATTATTCTGTTTACATTTTCTGATTTCTAAGAAAAGTTCTTTCTTCATTTACTTTTTTTTTTTAAAAAAAAGAAGTTAACAATATAACTTTTCTTCTGAGTAAGGCTTTTGGCTGTGTGTTACAAATTTTTAAAGTGTAAGCCTTTCCAAAATGGTTTAGATTATTAGTTTTAATTTTCTCTTTGATCAAACATCTATCTAGAAATGTAATTACCAAATTCTCAATATATTAAAGGGACTCTTAAAATTTTTTCCAAAGAATAAGATTTTCTTTATAGCTTTAAATTCAAGTTGATTATATTAATCCACTCTTCTATATCCTTTCTTATTTTCTGTCTATAGATTTGTCCAGTTCTGAAAGAAATATACTCAAATCTCCAATAGCTGTATTTCTTTTGATTACTTTCTAGTTTAATTTTTTTTAGTATTTATTTTTGTTTTATTTATTTATTTTTCATTTTCTAGTTTAATTTTATTTTAGTCTTTTTTTTTTTTTTTTTTTTTTTGTAACTGGTTGGCCAGTTAACTAACTTGGTTACAGCGTGGTGTTGATAACACGAGAGTCAAGAGTTTGGATCCCCATACTGGCCAGCTGCCAAAAAAAAAAATTATTATAATGATAATTTTCAGTATGAAATATAGCATACATACAAAAGAGTTCACAAAACTATTATCAACAGAACATTATGTTAAAGAACAAAAATAAAACAAATATCCATAGACCAACGAAGACATAGAATATTACCAACACCCTAAAAGCCCACTATGTGTCCCTCCCTGATATCCTAACTCTTCCCTTAGTGACCATATCCTAATTACTGTGCTAAGCTAATCATTCCCTCCTTTTTTAATACTGCATTTTTGAAAGGGAAAAAAAAAAAAAAAAAAAAACACTTATTTGTGTATCTCTAAACAATACACTGTTAAATTTTTCCTGGTTTTGAAATTTAAATAAATGTAATTATACTGAAATACTTTTTTCTATGGTATGGTTTTTTAACTTTCCAACTTCACATTCATAAGAATCATACATACTTCTGCATAAACTGTGACTCATTCATTTTTACTGCTGAGTAATATTTTATGGACTAGATATGCTACAACTTATAGACCCTTTCTTACCAATGATGAAGATTAGTACTGTTTTCAGTTTTTGCTATTAAAAGCAATACCACAGCCCACAACAAAATCCAGCTGTATTTGTATGGCCTGTGAGCTAAGAATGGTTTTAACATTTTTAAATGTATGAAAAATGTAAGTAATATTCTTTTATTTACTTTAACCTTGAATGAAAGTATCTTTTAACAGGAGTGGTCAGTCAGTCATATTTAGCATAATGGCTGGCATTCTTCATATATTTTTCATCCAAGCAATTTTATGTTTAATACTTACAAAGTTTTCACTTCTTTTTAACTTATCTCCACTGTTTTCAACTAGTTGCTCTTTGTTTCTTTTCCTCCCTCCTAATTGGGAAGTAAATTACTGAGATAAGATAAGTGGGTGATGTGTTCTTTAAATCCTTACCAAACAGCAAATTCCTTTCTTTAACCAGGATAAGTAAATGCTCTCTGGGATGGATAGAGAATTCTTGGATTACCATCTTTTTATTCTTAGTGGTATGTGAAATTACATGTACCTCTCAGAGCTTTTAGTGTTGCAAATAAGAAGTCTAATTTTTTCACCTTTGCAAGCACCTTTGCCTAATTGTTTGCTTTGTTTTTATGGCCTGGTATTTGGCAAGATTTTCACTTTATCTCTGAACATTAGGATTTTTCCCAGGCTATACCCGTGTGGGATCGGTTTGATTTTTTTTCAGCCCTCTCACTCACAGCTGATAAGCCCTTTCTAAATATGAGGTTTGGGTCTTTTTTTCAGCTCAAGAAAACTGTATTTTATTATTTACTATGTCTCTCTTCCTCCACTATCTTTTCCCCTTCTGTTGCCGACAATTTATATATTGGGGCTCCTTCATGATTTTTCTTGGATTTTTGTTCTGTCATTTGACAATCAGTTGGGAAATTTCTTACACTTGATCTTCAAGGTCACCAATTCGAGTCTCAACAATAACCACCCTTTTCTCATCAATTCCTCTAGTAAAATTTTTCTTTTGAAAAATTCAGGAATTTTTTGTTGCTAATTTGCTTTGAATGTCTTTTTTAAGCCATACTTGAAAATCCTTGAGTAGGTTTTTATTTCTTTCCTTTTTGTTATTTAAGTTATCATCCATTTGTTCTGCTTTTTTTCCAAAGACTCTCCAATATGTTATTTTTCTGTTCATGCTCACAGTCCAGACCCTGGGTGCCCATCGTCCATGAGGATAAACACGGCAGTCTCCACTCCCATGGTTAGCAGTTACTGCAGCAGGCAGACTGTCTTTCCAGGAAGAGAAATCAAGATGAAGCCCCCCTGCTCCCTCTTCTCCCTGCTTTTCAGCCTTCTCCCCTCCAAGAAGGGGAGGATGTAGTCCTATTATTTATATTCCTGGATTCAAATGCCCTCTTCCAAGTGTCTGTAATTTTCCAAAGGCTAATGTGGGCATTCCCCATACCTATCATAATTTGAGCCTAACCGTGACTATTCTACCCCCACACCAAAAAAAAAGAAAAGAAAAGAAAAACAACCATCTGTCCCAAGCTCTCACTTATACAAACTCTCTCTGGGCTCTCACCTGCATCAGCCCTTTACAGGAACACCAACAAAGCATTAGACCTCATTCATACCTCCCCATCCTAACCACCATCCCAACTAGCTTAAGTTAGGTGAGTTTCAGTTGGGAGCGGGAGGAAGGAGAGAGTCTTTCAACCCACCATATACCCAGAATCCATATCAATTCTTTCTGAAACTTAAATAAGATCCTCTGTGAGAACTGTGAGGGTACTTCAAAAAGTTCATAGAAAAATGGAATAAAAAGATAATGCAAATCTTTCTACAAAACTTTTGAAGACTCCTTGGCAAAACTTTATCCAATCCTTAGGAAAAAAAGGCTACACTTTGGAAAAATTGTTCTGCATTACAGTATTAACATAGCAACATAATGATATTATAAACACTGTAGTATTCATGTACCTTTCTCTAGTTCCACTGGGAAAAGTTCCAGCTTTTCTACACGCTTTTCAAGTTCATACTCGGCTGAAGCAGCCACAGGGTCAACTTCATCATTTCTCCTGTCATAGTCTTCATTGGAGTATGTGTTGAAAACCTGTAGTAAGAGGCCAACAACAAGATGACAATGCAAAAAAGATGGCTTTTTTAATTTTTTAAAAAATCTGCTGGTTGTTTTATCGTTAAAATCAATTGAGATGTTAAGAAAAGGAAAACTGAATCAAAATAAAAATAACTTACTAATTTAAAAAATGTATGAGTCATTCTACCACTTTTAATAATTTAAGAGACAACAGTAGGCACAGAATACATTATTAAATAGCAATATTCATCACCTTTTTATAGAATCAGAATATACCATATTAGCTACAACGCTCTACTGTTTCTGATAAAACTAAGGTAAAGCATCTTGAAGCAAAACACACAATGAACTTGATGATCTGACCTATACTGGCCCCAAAGTTGTACTATGACAATACCGTAATTATATTTCAAGCACAGAATCATTGAAATATTTCTATTCTATGCTGTTCTGGGCTATGTTAAAGTGCTCTCATCTATCTTCTCTCATTTTACTTACATATAGATTTAAATTAAATTCTCATTGAATCTTTCTACGAAATAACTATCAAAATATTACTCAAGAGCTGTAGAACAAACAGGTTATTGACAATTCTTTATTTCTGAACCAGATCATTCAAAAGACCACTAAATGTGGCCATTAGATGTAGCCATAAGAAACTTGATTTTCCATATTTCTGCTGAAATAGTTTTATTTGAAAAGGAAATGAAATAGTTATCCAATCCCTCTCTTAATACACTGAAGATATATTTTTTTTTCCTTTTTTTTTCGTGTCCGGCAACAGATCGCAACCCTCAGTGTCGCGCCCATACCGGACCGGGACCGGCAACGGGATCGCAACCCTCGGTGTTGCTCCCGCACCTCGCTCAGCCAGTGAGCAGGAACCGGTCTGTATGTGGGATCCTAACCCTCGGCGCTCCAAGCGGCACACTGTAGCAGTGCGCCACCGGGCCGGCCCCCCACTGAAGATATTTAAAAGAAAGAAATGTATAATTCATCAAGTTCAACTAATATGTATAATAAAAACACACATTTTCAGTTAAATTCAATAATTTTAAACATCTAAAATAAACTGCCTGAGAAAAACTATTTAAGTCCCCCCCCCAAAATCTTAAAATCTAGGAGTGAGTTTTTGAAATATACACATAAGCAGTCATAATAAAAATAGATAAGAGAACAGAAGGTCAAAGATGAAAGAAATTATATCTATTTTGCCTATAAAGCTGGCCCTTCTAGTCCAGGTATGCTTTACATTCATATTATTAGAAAACTGGCAATTCTTATATTCTTTATAAGGGTACTTCAAAAAGCTCACAGAAAAATAGAATTAAAAGATAATACAAATCTTTCCATGAACTTTTTGAAGTACCCTCATATACAGTAGTCTATAAATCAAGAATACACATTGCCTCTATAGAAGAGATATAGTGTGGTTCCTAAAGTTATATATTTCTCAAAATATATCATTTGTAGAGTTTGCACCTGAGTGGATACTGTTTTTCTTCCTCACTTTCAACATGTTTTCATAGCCTCAGGCCACTGGGATCCTCATTTGGTCTCTGCCACATTTTTCTACCATAATAAATATTACTTCATGAAAATGTACATTTCCCATACTATGGCATTTGCATTTTTAATTTTTATTTCTCTTTTCATAAAATATGCTTCCTATACCTGCTTCCATAGTACCCTATGATACTTTCCTTACATTGTTAGACTAATGACTTTCTCTTAGACAGCTCTTTTGATCTTTCACTTCCCTTATATTTTTTGGTAATCACTTATTCACATTTATTCATTCAACAAAAATTTACATAGTACCAACTCTATGCCAGACATTGTGCTAGACAGTGGAGAAGGTACAGTCTCAATTTGGTCACAGCTTAGAAGAGACACAGAAACCAAAAGAAGCAACTACAATATAATGTGATAACTGTTGTAACAGAGGAATATACCAAGTAATTTTTTTAATTTGGCTGGGAAAGAAAAGAATTTTGTGGAGGGGAAGATATTTCAGTTGACTTTTGAAGAATAAAGTTATTTGCATATCTGAGTGTAGAAGAGGAGGAATGTATATTTCAAATATAAGAACCCAGACCAAAAAAAATATATATGCATATCTACACATATATAATGTATATACATAGAGTATATATATATACATACATACATATATGAGGGTACTTCAAAAAGTTTGCGGAAAGATTTGTAATATCTTTTAATTCTATATTTCCACAAACTTTCTGAAGTACCCACATGTGTGTACGTGCATATATACACAGTTTTTTTTAAAACATCAATAGTTGAGTGGACTACAATGCAACATGTCTAGAGGAATGAACTTTAACAACACACACACAAAAAGTTAGCAGGGCCTGAGTCTTACATGTCCTGGAAATCACTTACATGCCCTGGAAACCATTGGTAGGTATGACTGGAAATTATTCAACTAATGTTTGCCACTCATCTACTCCTGCTAATAGGTCCAAGTAAATGATTGCAGAATAAGGGTTTAAATGGTACTCATTCTGGAACACAGCTCAATTTCGCCAGTATGTAGTGAGTAAATATATAAATAAATAAATGTGTGTATGTAAAGGAAACATGGGAGAACTGTTTCAAATAAATTAACTCCTTCCTAACTTCTTTTTCAGGATCCCAAACACTCTGCTATTAAAATGTTCTTCCCCAATCAGGTTGGTTTATAAAGTTCATTTGAGGGTATTCTGAAGTTAAATAAAACAAACAAAAAACTACAAGACTACATATAGGAAAATGATACTTGTTGATACAGTTGGGATGTTATTGTCCCTGGAAAACTCATGTGGAAATCTGATCCTCAACGTCGCAGTGTTGGGAGTTGTTTGAGTCAACAGGGCGGATATCTGAAGAACCGATTAATACTCTCCCTGGAGGTCTGGGTTAGTGAGTGAGATCTCATTCTATTAGTCCCCACAAGAGCACTTGTTTAAATGACCCTGGCACCTCCCCTCTCTCTTGCTTCCTCTCGTCATGTGATCTGCTTGTACCCACCGGCTGCCTGCTGCTTTCTACCATGAGTAGAAGCAGCTTGAGGCCCATGCCAGATGCAACTGTTCCTGAATTGTAAACCAAGTAAACCTCTTTCTTTATAAATTATCAGTTTCAGGTATTCTGTTATAGCAACACAAAAATAGACTAATATTCTTGTGTAATTCTGAGGTCTCTAGCAATCAGATGACTATACCACCATTTCATTCTGTAGAAAATAAATAATGTAAGATACTCTTCATTTTCAGTTTGCTAACCGTCAGGTAAATTACATGGGCATGCAGGAAAAAACTATAAATAATGCAAAAACCAAAGGCAGATTCATTATTTGTAAACTGAACTATTGTTTACTTGGAAAATCCAAGAAATTTAATAGAAAAACTATTAAAAACAATAAGAGTTCAATAAAGCAAGGTAATTTTTAAAAAGCAATCATGCAAAAAACCCTAGCTTCGGAAAATATAATAAAAGATCAGAAACTATAAAATACCCAATAATTACTAAAAATAAATGTGCAAAGACTTCCTTCTCTATAAACCTTAACTGAAAAACACAAAAAGCCCTGAGTAAGTATAATCCCATATTATTTTCCTGAATTAAAATCCATAACATTGTAAAGATATCCATGCTCCCAAATTACCATAAATGTCAGTTTCCCCCAATTTAATTTATGAATTCGGAACAATCAAAATTAAAATCTCACATACATTTTTCATGGAAACGAAAAAGCTGTTTGAAAAAGAAGAATAAGGATGAAAGGAAAAGAGGAAAATAAGAATAAGGATCTAGGCCCTACTGATATCAAAACATTAAAACTTCATTTTACAACAAAATAAAACTTCATTTATTAAGGCAATGTAGTTTTGGCACTGGGGTAGATTTATTTTTATATTCTATTCCACTCCTCTTCTTTTCTAATCAAACAAGTGACAGTGGTCTATTTAATAAAAAGTATGGAAAGAATTACATATCCATCTGAAAAATACTCCTATTTAATATCATTAACAAAAATAGAATTCAGATTGGTTAAGGACAAGAATATATAAATACTACAAGTGCTAAAAGAACATATGTGACAATGTTTTACTAATAGGCTAGAGAGAGTTACAAATCCTAGAAATCCCAATGGAAATCAATAAACTATTCGATTAAAAATCAATGCTAAAAAACTCTATACGACAAATTATACCATAGTAGTTATGGAAAAAGTCACAGATTAGGAGAAAATATTGCCAAATATTAAGAGGAAATATGAATACAAAAAATATATAAATGGCTTTATCAACTCAAAAAGTTGCACATGTAAGTAGGAAAAGGAAACTGAGAATTCAACAAAGAAGATATACTAATGTCCAATAAATTATATAAAGGTGATCAACTTCATTAAAAATTAAGCAAACACAAATTAAAACAAGGAGATACTATGTATACACATTGATGAGTAGTTAAAAAAAAAAAAGATTTCAACATCCAGTGTTTGTGAGGATATAGGAAAAAGGATACTCTTGGGAAAACAAACCAAAATAAAATCCATAATTTGAAAATAGCAATCAACATTTTAAATGTGCCTTTGACCTAATTATGTGACATGTAAGTATTTAAAGAAATACTTACAAATGTGCAAAAAGATGTATGTGCAAGGAAATACATTATAGCACTATTTGTAATAACCAGAAGTGGGAAATTACCTAAATGTCCAGCGATAGAGATGATGGCTTGCTAAATTATGATATACACAAATGTGTGATTCTACACAGTGACTGAAGATATCTCTATCCCTGCTGACACAAAAGACTGCAATACAGACACTATTAAACCAAAAGAAAACATTGCAGGTAAGAATGAAGATAGAAATATTTCCAATTTGCATGATATCCTCAATTGGTTTGATCCCAATTTTAATTTAATTAAAGTCTCTTAAATTCCCTAGCTATGTAGCTCTTGCCAAGATGTAAAACTATGCTAAGCCTCAGTTTCCTTATTCACAAAGTGGCTATTATAATAATAATACCTACCCCATAAGGTTATTGTGAAAACGAAAGACATAAACCATGTAAGTGTACTTAGTTCAATGTGTTGAGAGGGAACGCTTTCCCAGACTAAGATGAGAGAATATCTCCCCAGATACCTACAACACATCTCATATTCTCTTTTATAAATAGGTTTTGAATATTTCATCCAGTATGATACTTAATGCCCTTTAAACAATAATCTGTACAACTAACTTGATATCAGAACAGAGAGGCCTAGCAAAATAAGTGTCCAGAGTAATGTGCTATCATTGTACAATGGTTCATCGCCTCCCATGCTCTTTGTTTTGCCTTGACCAGGAAGGACCTCAGAGACGAAAGGAAAGTTGACCTAGGCAAATACCTCCCCTTTCATCTATATGGCCTTGACTCTTTCAATTTTTTTATAATAGTTCTACAATTTTTACTTATATTACCTTAATTGCTCTGCAAAAATATGGATAATTAATCAAATAATAATCAGAGCCTCATCATAGTATTACTGCAACACAAAAACTCTAAAGGCCAGCAGCATCCTAGACCCCAATATTCAACATGATCAAGACAGACATATTTTTAGTTCCATCACCTTCACATTGTTTCTGTGTTATTTCACTGAGAAAAGCAATCAAAAGGATGTTTACATTTAAGACTTCTTGTTTCAGAGCCAACAAGCAATATTCTGTTCCTTGATCAAAAGAAACAAAACAAGACCTCATCCATTGCTTCACAGCAGAGACAGGCTTTCAGGGGTAACGAGTTTACAAACATTCTTAGCAAGGACATTTTTGAATGAGCAATCCAAGGCTATGAAAAACAAGTAAAGTAAAAATTTGCTTATTATAAGACTGCAACCAGAATCATTATCTTACTTACATTTTTGGTAGCTTGAGCTACAACACTTTTCTAAAACAACAGCAACACTTTTTCAACAATTACAAAAAGAAAAAAAAAAAAAAACCTCATTTCCTTTACTTCCTATGATACATTTTCTTTAATGAATGCAGGTCAAAATAAATTCAGCATTTACTATAAATACTGACTGGAAGGAATCTCCCACAAGGCTTCCACAGGGTCTCAGTCCCAGCTGTATTCTGTGTTCCGCTTAATCTTCCGGACACATCAAAGATGAAAAACGTTCCAGGTTGCAGCACGCTGTTTCAGACGATGGCTTGGCACAGTACGCTTCTGGAGATAAGCCAAGCATTCACATGCTTCCACAAACAGATTACACTCATCACAAGCTTCCTTGGCAGAACCCTAACTCACCTTCACATGATTTTTGTGGCTTTGCTAAAGAGGCTCTGAATGGGAAGTAACAGAAAGCATGGAGAAGACAGTCCATATCTTAAAGTTTTAAAAACAAAATTGGCAATAAACCATCCTCAGAAAGGAGGATCCTAACAGCCTTAGAGCAATGTGTAATCTCAATTTTCCTTTTCTTCCTCGCGAACCAAGGTTAGTTCACTGATTTACAATAGCAAGACCCAGGTAGTTTCTTGAATGCCCACTGTGTGTCAAAAAATATATTGGGTTCCTATTGCAAAATGAGGTAAGCCAAACCACAGTTCACAATTATTAGACACTTTGGGGTAAACATTGGCAGTACAAAAACATTCCAAATAGATGAAGGCTTTAGTCTCTTCCTCTATAATCTTGTGACACAGGGAGTGTGTTACAACATACAAAAAACTCAAACTAAATTTTGCTGCGTGTAAAAACATTGCTGAGCAAGAAGATGCAAAAACTAGACTCACAGGCCTATCTCATAAACTCAGTAAAATCCCCAGATTTCTGTCCTTAAGTCATTTTGAAAAGTAAGCTGCGTGAAAAGTTTACTTAAAGCAGTTGCAACCATATTCTACAGTAGGATGCATCCAACCTTCCAACTGGATCACTCAGCAGACTCCTACATACCAGAAAACAGGACCAAATGGAGTAGTACAGTTAGGTGTTGCTCCAAAAGCTGCTAACTTGCTGGCTTTGCCTGACTTAAAGTCCATTCGCATAAAATTTTTTGTTGTTGTTGTTAATTGAAACATAATTGATTGTATATATCTGTGGGGTACAGCGTTGAATACCTTTGTGTGCTATGTGATGCTCAAATCAGGATAATCACTATATTTATCATTACACAGTGCAATCATTTTTACAATAGTATTTCTAGGGCTAACCCACATATCTACAACATCACTAACTTCAACAATTTTTTATACCATACCTAATGTTAGTAAACCATCTCGTGTAGACTTAGAGTACCCATCTTGAAGTATAGACGTCTAATTATGGTTTTCAAATACTAACTAATCCTAGAGTGTGAATTCATAATTGGCTAATTAAAGGCTCCTAAGACAAAATTATCGCCATATACATTATGTTGTATATGCTGAAATAATTTGAAGTAAATTACAGACAATATGAACTTTGCACAAATTATCTTTAACTCTTTACAAACTGATCCAGTAAGGCAGAAAAGGGTAAAGAGTGTCCATTTTTCATATTTTTACATGAGAAACTTGAAGTTCAGAGGACAATACACATACTGTATATAAGGATAATTAATTGAACACAAAGTCCACAACGACAAAAGCTTTATTTCACTAAATGTAAACCTAGTGCTTTCATGGATTTCCAAAGCAAAGTTAAAAAACAAAAAACAAAACACACACACACATTGCATGATGGGAGGTAGAGATGATGATAGCTCAAAAGATCACACAAAGAAGCCTATATTTCTGTCAGGGTTCTCCAGAGAAACAGAACCAATTGGATGTGTGCATGTTTATTTTAGACAAAGAATATTTTTAAAATTTTATTTATATTAAAATGAGTTCTTTTTAACGGCCGGCCCGGTGGTGCACTGGAGAGTGCGCCACTTGGGAGCGTGGCAGCGCTCCCGCTGAGGGTTCGGATCCCATGTGGAGACCGGTTCCCGCTCACTGGCTGAGCGCGGTGCGGGCGCAACACCGAGGGTTGCGATCCCGTTGCCAGTCCCCAGTACAGGCATGACATCGAGGGTTGCGATCCCATTACCGGTCAGTAAAAAAAGACAAAAAGGAAAAAAAAAAAATGAGTTCTTTTTAAGAACTGGCTCATGTTACTGTGGAGGCTGGCAAGTCCAAAATCCACAGGACAGTCCAGGAGGCTGAGGCCTGAATAATGAATGGCAAGATAAGGTTAAAAGGGAAGAAGCACTTGAGGGTAGCTATGCCAACTGGTAGACCCAGAAAAAGTTGATATAGTTTGAGGCCAAAGGCTGGCAGATTTCCCTCCTCATCAGTGAAGGTCAGCCTCTTTTTATGAAGGTCTTCAACTGATTAGATGAGGCCCACCCATACCATGGGGGTAATCTACTGATTTAAATGTTGATCTCATCTAAAAATACCTTCATAGAAACATACAGAATAATGTTTGCCCAAATATCTGGGTGGTGGCCTACCCAAGTTAACACACAAAATTAGCCAACACAAAGCCCTTAAAACAGAATATTCTCTGGCTGTAAAAACTGGACTTTTTGGCATTTGACAAAGATAGTTAGAGGAATATGCTTTTCTTAAAAGTATGTAGCGGGCTGGCTGCTTAGCTCAGCTGGTTAGAGTGCAGTATTATAACATGAAGGTCAAAGGTTCAGATCCCCATACTAGGCAGCCACACACACACAAAAAAAAATGTATGGAGAAATAAGACCAGAGGTTTATACCCACATTTTATTCAGATACATCTGACAGGTTAAAGCATTTCACATGGATAATACTATTATTTCCATACTTAAACTCCTAAGTTAGAAAAGAAAAAGCCAACCTAGCTGGGACTGCAGCAGAAAAGAGTGCTCAGGAGAAACTGCACTTGGCCCTCATGTGAAGAGCAGTGAACAATGAGAACTTGGGCCGCCAAGCTCCGTGGGCTTGGTCAACTCACTGGGTCTCTCTAAAGCTCGGGTTCTTTTGGGCAAGAAGGCAGGACCAATTCTGATACCCAGGCTGCTGCATGCTAGAATCTATTCACAACTCTGACACCTAATCAAAATTCTTGTCACTACATATCACTCTGATGACAATTCTTTAACTATTCACACCTACATTTGATGGTAAGTTAATTAGAAGCATGAATTCTGAGTTGTGGCTTCTTTATATCAAATTATCTGTTCAACTTTTTTAACATTACCACATAAATATGCAATCCTACGGAGTCTTTGAGGAATGGATCATCTAGGATCCATATTTCCATTTAGATGAGATCACGATGTTTTTTACATAGTTTAGCTTTTAGTTAATTTTACCACTTTACTAGTTTTGGTGACTCTTCATTCTTGTTACATCTAAATGGTCTAGTACGCATTATAAGTGCCAGATCAGAACACTTATTTCACTGCCCTCAGTTAAATATGGGTCAGAAATGTAGCCAAGACTAGGTAAAAGATAATACCCATAATCTACTATAGCAGGGAGAGGTTTCTGAGAGATCCCCACATTGGAGGGGGGAACTCCATGGGTTGGATGTGCTCCTTCACACTCATAAATCCACTTAATGACTCAAACTCTGGATTCAGCAAACTCTGAATTTTTTCCCCTCTTAATGTACAAAGAGGGGAAAAAATGTTGTGTGAAGATTAATATATGTAAAAATCATAGCATCTGAAAGTAAGAATAAGAAGTCAATTTATATTTGTTCATATAGACAGTAAGCTCACTTTGTAATCCATCTGAGCTAGCCAAATGAAAGGTAAACCAGTCTATCTACAGAGATGTTAGCGCTGCTGAACAGTATTTCCAGTTCTCCTACTGGGTACATCAGCATATTATATTTCTCCACCCTGTCTTGCTTTGGGGTGGAGCTATGTAAATAATTCTGGCCAGTGGATTTTGGACAGAGATGATGTGTGTCACTTTCACAATAAAGCAGTTTATTGTGGAGGCAAAACCTTCCAGTGTTTTCCTCTTCCTGTGTCTCTGTGATCTGAAACTACGTATGATAGAAATGGAGATTCCTGGGGCCGGCCCGGTGGCGCACTGGATAAGTGCGCCGCTTGGGAAGCGCGGCGGCGCTCCCGCCCGAGGGTTCGGATCCCACATGCAGACCGGTTCCCGCTCACTGGCTGAGCGAGGCGCGTAATAACTTCGTATAGCATACATTATACGAAGTTATACGAAGAGTTCAGAACTGTACAGGACAGTGTGCCTGCAGAAACCACTCCCTCGAACCTCCTCCCTTCACTGTGAGGAAGCCAGTCCCAGAGCTGGAAGCAGATACAAAGTCTAAGTCCCCGTATTCCCAATTCCCCAAGTCAGGAGAGGCACTTGAACCTAGCAAATGATAATTACAGTCACAGGAGTCACTAACAAATCCAAGTGTCCTAGCGGCACACACCAATCCCACTCATTACTGCTATGCTCACAAAAACACGCAAACCTTCCCACGCAGAAAATGAGAGTTAAGTGCCTCTTCTCTGATGTTCATTACTACCACACACAGGAAGGGACTCAAAGGGAGAAAGACAAGAAAACATATTAAGTGTTAATACGACACTACAAATAGACCATTTCTCTATGACATAGTTTGGGTCTCTCCCATCATCCAAAAAGCTTTAAAGCCTAAGTCAGACTACTTTATAATTGTAGAAAAACAGTAACAAAGTTGTGAAATTTATCATACTATGCTGAAGATTCCATAAATCTAAGTAACTGAGTGACTACAATGAATACAAAAAGCTTTCCTTTGATTCACAATAGACATGTAGCTATAGCACGGGTGAGAAATAAACAACTGGTTAGAAGATAATGGGATCATTCAGTAGGGCAATATAAACTAACCTATCTTAACTAGTCTAAAGGGACCATTTGTTCACTATAATTATGAATTTCAAAGATCCTATCTTGGTTTAAAAACACAAGAATTGGGGCCAAGAAGTACATCTGCTACCAGAAACCTTTCATCTCATTTTTAGTGAAAACATTAGTGATAACAAATCAGATAAACAACCCAGAGAGATCTCAGAAGCACAAATCCCAAGTAGGAGCTTTCCTGTCTGTTCTCAGTCTGAAGAGCCTAAGGGCTTCAGGAAGGAGACTGAATATCACCTCCACCATAGTGTGGTCCTAGATCTTCTTCCCAGTTTTTCCCCACACAGGACAGTGAGCACCCAGGGGAGGCTCTTTATAGTGGCATTGAACACGTTTTCCATAAGACCCACCTCTCATGTATTTCTTCCCTTACACAAATCAATACAGTTATCTAAGAGCTGAAGAAAGAGCAAGCAAACGGTCTTCAGAAGTCCTTAGTGAAGGTACTAGAAAAAGTAAATTATTCTGCTTAGTAGATCCTCTTATTTATAAATTTATAGTATTCTTTTTTTTTTTTTGGTCTTTTGTCTTTTTCCGTGTCCGGCAACGGATTGCAACCCTCAGTGTTGCCCCCGTACCGGACCGGGGACCGGCAACGGGATCGCAACCCTCAGTGTTGCTCCCGCGCCTCGCTCAGCCAGTGAGCGGGAACCGGTCTGTATGTGGGATCCAAACCCTCGGGCGGGAGCGCCGCCGCGCTTCCCAAGCGGCGCACTTATCCAGTGCGCCACCAGGCCAGCCCTAAATTTATAGTATTCTTCGTAGATTATTTGGAGTGTTGCAAATTGTAACATCCCCAAACACCTGCACAGAATGGGTACAAAAACCCTTGATAAAATCAAGTATACATTTTTGTATTATCAATGGCACCAATCACCTTATACTTGTAGATAATTAACAACCAAATATAGAGGATATAAATTCTTCAAATTTAGAATAGCTATGGTTGACTTTGTGGAGAGATAAGTTTTATATATATGAATATTTTTAATGAAAGAATATTTCAAAATAAGTGGAGTTTTGTTAAGGTTACCATATATAGAAATTATCAATGATATAAAAAGATTAGAAGGTCCTATATCCCTTGCTTTCAACGAAATGGGATTTAATTATAATTAATACCATTTATCTGCAAACATGTGTTGTTAAAGTACTTGAAAAGT